GGGATTGCACCTAAGGCACCTATAACTATTGGTACTATCTTTGCTTTCTTTTGCTATAGTCGTTCTACTTCTATTTGCAGATTTTTATATTTTGTGTATTATTATCATTATTAGTGAAGTCTACAAAGAAGAAGCACAAAATTATGATCCACAGTTGTCCCCTAACCCAGAAGTGACAAAGGAAGCCACTGAAGGACACCAATATGCCCTGGATTTATTGGAAGAAGTTATAGCAGGTATATCTAAGAAAGCTTCTACTATATCATGGGTGCTAAGAGACAAAAACTTAAAAAGAGGCAAGAAGTCCCATTGTGAATACACATTTGCCTTTAGGCAAGTTGCCTTTTTCTCCAGCTCAGTCTTTGGTTTGTAGTGCTGACATACCTAACAGGTAGGGATGTGCTACACTTCGGATCTGAAGCTGAAGAGGTACTTTGGAATGGGTGTGGCTGAACATTCTGCATCTGTGAACACCTCCTGAGTGAAGTTGCATCGTTCCCTGGACTCTTCCAGGAAAATGTGTTTTTGAGTTGAGCACTGACCACGTACTCATGCCCAGTCTAAAGTGCTCTGTTGGCACATCCTTAACTCAGACCCTGTGGCAATGCGTCAGGGTTGGGGGTTTCTTTTGTTTGTTGTTTGTTTGTTTGTTTTTACCCAAACCCATTGGCCTTTTGAGGGATCCTTGTGGATGGGATGATGATGATGCAGTGTGACTGAGGGTGCATCAGCCATATGGACAGCATTTAGATTTTCATTGGGGGACAGCCTGTTTTTTCTTTCGTAACTGTGTTAAGCTTATTTTAGGCTTAACCATTACCTGTATTTACTGCTTCATAATCACAGAATATTAAAATTTGGCAATGAGATGGTCAGGTTCCAGGGCCACCAAACAAAAAACAAAAAAGTTCAGAGACCATAAGCAGCCCTGGGGTGACAGGTTACCCCCTCCGTTCCCCTTGCGTTACTGTAAAAGGAGAGGAAGGCAAAAAGATAGCTTTTGGTCAACTATATGTAACTGCAACCTGAAACATCCAAAATACTGGGGTTTTGGCTAATAAGATGGTTTAAATTTAATTGATAATTACTTAAAGAGCAGTTATAGCCTTTTTGCTGCAGTTTCCATTCTTCCTATATTTTATACAGATTCTGCTACTTTCTTTCTAAAATAATTTTCTTTCTTCCAGAACGTGTGCCCAATGAAATGAGGGATAATGTTGCTTTTGAAAGTGAGAGCAGTGAGCAGCAACCAAGCTTACTAGTAACTGAAATATCAGAGCCAACAACAAAGCTCCAGCATGATGTGCCCTATTTCAGGTTTGTAGGCAAGATCAAAGGGGCCTAAATGAATAAACTGCCTGACTAATATGGATGCTTGTTAACATCTTTTCTCTAAAGGGGATTAAAATGTATTTTAATCTGTATTAAAATAAGCGACAGATTTGCTAACCATGGGTACTGGGGAGTAGAAATGGTGCCCAAATCCATTTGCCCTGCTTTAAGGATACCTTTACCTGCTGTTGTAATTGCTTGGAGTTAACATCAGATTATACCTACTTATAAGTTTGCTGTTGTGCACTGAGGCCTTAACTCTTCCATCCAAGCCTATTTCTGAAAAGTATATACCAGCCCTACACCAGCTTCTAAGTGGACTGTCTAAGTCTGGCTGGGGAATTCTGGGAGTTGAAGTCCACTCATCTTAAAGTGGCCAAGTTTGGACAACACTGGTCTAAGTAGAGTGTAAACAGAATGGTAGGACTGGTAATTTCCCTACTGTCTGTTCCCTCCCTCGAATGAGCAGCAATGAAGTAAAATGGCTGGCAAAAAGGGCCTACTTAGGACTATCTAGCCTAGAATCCATTCTTGTTATTGGGACTATATTTCCCATGCTGCTACTATAGGCATTGGCACTGATGTTTCTGAATTGAAAACAGGGTAACTAATTACTCTTTAAAATATGACATGTATGAAACTGAATCAGCACATTCTGCCACTCTTTGTTTAGAACCGGGTATGAGTAGGAAAAGAAGTAGTAGAAGTGGGGTATGATTCTCAGACCTAAGAATTGTAATGCGCCCATCCTTAGCCAATGTTTAGCTTGATAACGAGAAGAACTCTATGTAGTATAACGTGTTGTGTTTTTTACTTAGATTAATAATACTTTTAATTGCTATTATTGGTCCTGAAGCTACTATATTCAGTTTTATATTGTTAGCTCCTTTGAGAGTCTTATGGGTAGAAAACTGGGTCATTAATTGAAATAATGAGAAATTGTATGTCTGAATCTGCTTTTTTTAAAAGAAACATTCTTCAGTCTGAGACAGAGAGGCTGGCGTCGCTTTGTCTTGAATGGGATGAAACTGTTGAAATGGATATTCCGGAGGAGGGTAAGAGACAAAACACGAAGAGGTTTTGTGAAATTATTGTCAGAAATAAACAGCCACCTGGGTTTGACTGTGACTCTAATAAGCCCGTATATCTATGTCTGTATATCTACAGGTAGGTCTTGATTAGTGTGGTTAATGAATCCTACAAAATGGTGGCATTATTCAAATTTGCACTATTTGAAGTGATATTTCTATGGAAAATATGGTAATTGGTTCCAGCTTGACAGAAATAGGCAACAAAAAAATGTAAACATAAAACATGTATATTAATGAAATATTACAATAAAGGATAAAAAGAATATACTTATTTAAATTTATGGTTAACAAAGTCACAGTAGTTATAGAAACCAAAATACAAACAAAAAAATTCTAGATATCATTCCTAAAGGTAAACTTACACTACAAAAACATCTTTATGTTTATTTTAGCAGTGTAAACTGAACTGTTTTTTCTTTCTTTAAATCTTCATACATATGCTAGTAGACACAGAATGCTTTATCTACATCTTGGCAAGTTTACATGCTTCGATCGAGATTAGGGTCAGCATCCATGATTTTTTGCTTCACAACTTCTACAGCTCGAAAAATTCCTTGAGAGTAAACTCCTTCACTTGCCCATTATTGTTTCCTTCTGACGGAATCTTCCTTTTCTGCATTTTGCACAAACATTAGCAGCATCTAAAACTGCAACTGTGCATGTGTTAGCCTCAATTACACACACACTAGCCTTGCAATAACTGGATTTTAGGCAGCATTAAATGTGACCTAGAATCAATTTATACTTTGCACTGAATTGAATATCACATTATTTGAACTCACACGAATCGTGACCTACCTCTATGTCTATGTGTCTATATCTATATATACTGTATGCAACAAAATACTATTTTTCCAGCAAAAGATCTTGTCCGCACAACCGTTGGGCAAACCAGACTGTTGGTGGCAGAGAGATTCAAACAGTTTGAAGGGCTGATAGATAACTGTGAATTCAGACGTGGAGAGAAAGAGACAATGTGTGCAGATCTGGATGGATTCTGGGATATGGTGAACTTTCAAGTAAGAATTTTTAACTGGGAAGCTCCTGTTTGCATTCAGCTGACCCTTCTTGGTCTTTTACCTTTACTTAATGGCCAGATCTCTGCTTAGTCAACAGTAAACAAATAAATCCTAGCCTAATAATTCAGATTTTGCAGTTGAATAAAAAGGTAAATTAGAAGAATTATCCTAAACTGGGGGGAAAATGTAACTTGTAGAAAATACACCATTAGGAAATTATGCTTTTCAGCTTGAACATGATTGTCTCTTGGCTTCTGAGAGCTTACTAATTTCCACACACAAAATTCAAGCCTGTTTTAGCCATCAGGTAAATTTGAAACTTGCATCTTGGAATAAAAGCTGAGGTTTTTCAGCAAGTGCTAAATTTGGCAATCCATATTTTCATTCGCACGAAACAGCAGGATACAATGCAATGTTGTAGGAGATTCATAAGATATGGCTAAAAGTGTCATATCTTTGATTTCTAGGTGAAGCTGATGTGCTTTATATGGCTCCATCTCAATGACATATTTTAACATAAATTCCTAAACTTAGAGATTTCTAAAGAAAGCAGACTTTTATAAGTGTGCATGGAATACATTGTCAGTATGATGCGTGAAGTTAACTCATGTTTTCAGTACAGATTTGCAAAAAGGCATTTCTAAGATTTCTTCCTGTTGAGATGTACGTTCATCTTGGTATTTCCTAAGGAAGCTTACTATGCATTTTAAGGCTTAATATCTTTGTTTTAAAAAACGTAACCAGATTTTTCTTGCAACTTTGGTTCACTTTAGTCTTGTTCTGCAACCTTTCTTTTCCTCAAATAGGTAGAAGACATAAACAAAAAATTTGTGACCTTGAAGAAGCTTCGGGTGAATGGGTGGCAAATGGTGGATGATGCTCAGGCCCAAAGACCTGCCAAGGTATGAGAGTTCTGCTTTTAGGAGTTGATTCTGTATAGCATGTAATTACCAAGACTATTTCTGAAGGGCAAACTTTCTTGAGCGATACAGGCAACGGCATGAAAAGGATACAATTCAGTTTCTTCTGGATCAGAACTTTACTAAACTTAGCTACCTGTTCATCTTCTGGCAACTGTAACGCATCATGTAACCACGCCTAAGTACCAGGGATGCACAGCTATTCAGATCCAAAATGGAAAATGTGATTTGTGAGGGCATACCTCCTTAAAGAAGCCATGCCTTTTTGTGGGTTTGCCTGGCGTCCATGCAGTCCCCGACATCAAAGTAGTGGTGCCTCCTTAACTCAGTCCCATATTTTCCTGGGACTCTCCCCGTACGGTGTGAGCTCAGAAAAAGGCACAGCTTCTTTAAGGAGGTGACCCTGGGTGCAGCAAACTTTCCATGCCCATCCTTACTAAGCATAAGTAAGTGAAATAATAAGATTGTTTTTCTGCCCCTTCTGCCTCTTCTTTTATGTAATTTCACTATTCAATTCTTTGGAGTGGAGATCTGTCTTATGGTACTTGGTAAAGCAGGGTTCCTCAACCTCAGCAACTTTAAGACGGGTGGACTTCAACTCCCAGAATTCCCTAGCCAGAAGTCCACCCATCTTAAAGTTGCTGAGGTTGAGGAACCCTGTGGTAAAGCATTGTATACATTGATGGCTAATTAATTGCATCGCCATCCATATTCAGGCTGACGCTTAAGTGCCAGTGAAGAATTTCTTTGTCCTCCCACTTTCCTTTTTGTAGCCACCTCACTTTCTGGCTTTTAGCCTGGTTCAGGTTTACCTGTTAATGCCCCCTTCACCCATTTTCCTCTAAGGAGCACCAGAAGTTTGCTTCTTATAAGCAAATAAGTGCATTGATTTTTGAGATTTTGATCCAAGCTTCTAATATCTGACATGTAATTTATATTTTTAGTGAATCTTGGTGTTGTAAGCTAATATAGAACCATGGCTGATATTTTGGTTGCCTTGCCTTGACACTCCTGAGTTACACTAGCTGCTATGAATAGCTTAACACTGTGAAATTTGTCTTATAGGGAACTGAATTTAATTCAACATTCAGTACTGAATTTATCAGTATGGTAGTCCAGATTGAGAAAGATGACCTTTAATACTTCCTATGAGTGAGGTCATCTCATATCATAGTTTATCATTAGAGGGCTTGGCACTGGATATCTTTGTGAGTCAGTCAGGGTTTAACTAAAATACTGTGACAAGCGGTTCTGTGCTTCAGAATTGTAATATGCTTTTATTTTGAAAAAAACTGCTTTTTTCTGTGCTGTTTTCTTCCACTCCTGTTAATAAACTATTCTACAGTAGTTGCCTGAATAGTCAGGAAGAGGGTTAACAGAAGAACATGTTCTGTTGGAAGTATATTTTAACTTTCACCTATCACAGTTCTGATCTCAGAACCTCAGCCCCTGACAACCCGAGTAGAACTAATCTTTTTCTTTCCTACCTGAAATACTGTTTTCTCTGGTGAGATATTCCCTAGGATAGAAAAATCTTTTGGACTGGTAGGCTCATCTGAAATTTTGAGAGTACACTTTGGGCATCCCATCATGGATTGGGAGAGAGTTGCACATTCATTCAATGACTGCAGTGATGGAAGGAAGGGCCTATTCACAAAAAATGAATTTCCCAGAAAGCAAACTGGTGAGGATGTTCCCCACCACTCATTGCAGGATGCTGGTGACCAACTTGGCTTATCTTTATCGTTTATCTGGACCAGAGGGCACACTTCTCAGCAAAGTACCTCAGCAGAGATTTTCTGTTTTAAATTGATTATGAGTGGTTTTTATATGTTTGTATATTGGTTTTTTTAACTTATTTTTATTGGATTGTTTTTTACCTATTGTGAGCCGCCCAGAGTTGCTTAGATGAGATAGGCAGCCATACTACTACTAATAATAATAGCAACAGCAGCATAGGGCTTTGTTTTTGTTTTCTTTGGATCAGTGTTTCTCAGCCTCAGCAACTTTAAGATGCATGGACTTCAACTTCCAGAATTCCTCAGCCAGCCATGCTGGCTGGGGAATTCTGGGAGTTGAAGTCTATGCATCTTAAAGTTGCTGAGGTTGAGAAACACTGCTTTGGATCATATTCCCTAAACTCTGTCAAACTACTCAGGATTGAATTCCAGTGGCTGAGATGTCACCGGAGCTGGGTCCTGTCTCTTCCTCTCTGACTGAGGAAGTGTCAGTGTCTGCATGATACAGGCAGGATCTCTAGAGAGGTCTGATTGTATTCCCTGTGCCTTGAGTTTTTGAAGGCTCTTGAGAATCAGCACTGCCAAGATACCTTTTGATTTCCAGAAAAAGCCCATCCTTCGAAGAACCACCAAAGCAGCAGGGGGGTCTGCTGAAAGGAGAGCAGCCAGAAAACGTCTTGCAGCTGTAAAAGCAGCCATGAAGAACAAGAAAAAAGAAGGGTTGGCAGTAGAGGCTTCAGGCCAAGGAACACCCAAAGAAGCAGAACGGATATTTGATGGAGGTTTTTTCCAAATTGAATCTCCTGCTAAACCTTTTCCAGGTCAGTCCAGAGCACTGCCTTTGTGCAAGAACGACTTTATTATGATATTATGAGAACCGCCCAGAGTTGTTTCAACAAGGTGGGCGGTGACAAATTTGATATATAAATCAAATAAATAAATAAATAACTATTGCAGTAGTGATATCCTGCTGACTCCACATGAATTCCTGGTGGTTTACATAATATCCACAAAACCATAAAACATCACAATATCCATTTTCCCTCATTGTTCAAGTTCTAGCAGTGTTAAAGACTAAAAGCTCTCTGAAATAGTTTTCTTTTACTGCTTTCCTAAAGATAATGCCATCCAGGTCTCTGAGGGCAAGTTATTCCATAAGGGCTAAGAAAAATGGCCTCCTAGTCCATCTTCCCTGAAGCTCGCATGGAGTGGGGAATCTTTAGCACCTCCACTTAGGACATACATACTTGATAGATTGGTTCTAGTTGTAGCAAGCAGATAGGTGACCAGACAGGTAGGACTTCATAGGTAACAACCCTGATTGTACTCAAAGCCCTATTGACAACTAGTGCAGTGCCCACAATAACAGTGTTACATGACTATGGTGGTTCTCATCCAACAATATGTAGGCTGCTCCATTTTATTCCACTTGTAGCTTCCAAGTAATCTTCAAAGGCACCCCCACATAAAATACATTTATTTTATTTTATGTTGTTGTATATTTTATAATATATTTTTATTTTAGCCACCCACTCCAAAAGCCTGGGTAGATGGAGCAGTCCATCCCCAAGGTGATGGGATCCATTGGGCCTTCAGCAAACTGCAATCAGAAAGCCTTACAGCAGCTGGTAGCTAATTATCAAAACTGAAATAAGGAATTGAAATGGGAACAAGGCTGTTTCATTGCAAAACATTTTCCTCCGGAGCTGCTGCTTTCTCCCTTTGTTTTTTCATTGTATCCTCTTAGTTTAAGGAACATGCATGCAAGCACACATGTACTGTAAATAATTTTCTAACTTTAGATAGAACATGTGAGAGACACTTCTAACTGTTGAGCTTCCCAAGGGAGGGAAACTTACAAATGGAAGGTTTTCCTCCAGAAACTCCTGCTCCATGAATCCTGGCAGCCTGTTCTGCAGTGGAGGCAGGGAAATCCTCCAGCACACCAGTCAAAATCCAAGTGTGGCATTTTGGGCCCTTGCATTAGGATATGTCTGGATACACCCAGAGAGACCCAGGATTAAATCCTCACTCAGCCATGAAGTTCATCTGGGGAAGTCAGGCACTCTCAATTTAACCTACCTCAAAGTTGTGAGGAAAGCTATGAAGAGGGCACCTGCAGAATGCCTTACTATTGGTCAAATCCCCTTTTAAAACTTTCCAGATTGTCTCCATAGAATATGCAGTGTGAGGAAAACTGACTGTGAGGATGGCTTATTTCAGTCCTTTTATTATATATATTCATGCTTCAAGCATTCAGCATCCTTTCTTCCCTATCTTCTGCAGATTTGGGGGCACAGGGCTATATTTTAAGAATTCAATATTTAACATGGGTAACATATTAATACAATATTCAGTTGCATCCTTCATCCATTGCCTACAGGCTGGACTCCTAAATCCACCAGCAGGATTTCCCGACGGATGACCCCAAGGTCTGCCAGTAAGGCTTTGATTCAGAGTTGTGCGGAGATCTGTGTTTTGAGACAAGGCACACCTAGTACGTCCAAAGCGATTCCTCCTTTTCCAGATCCGAAGGCATTCTCAGATCCTGCTGGAAGTGACCACCTTGGCTCCACATCTGAACAAAGGTATGCAGCTAGATTAACCCTTTGTTTTGACTGGTGCAGAAATAACAACTGTTGGGGAGATCCAGATGGGTCTCACAGCAGAATAAGAGCTTTTGGGTCAAATGAAAGATTGAACTTTGTATTTTTCGCAGCAAAATATTTCTTGAATGCTCAACGTACAGAGCAATTCTTGCACGTTATGCAGGATATGTTGCCTTTAGATAGGCTCCATTTCACCTTCACGCCACAAGCATGCTGGTGCTTTTGAGCAAGGGGCTTTTTCTTCTTTCAAGCCAGAAGCAGCATTGCCTCTTTCTGCATCATAGTACTCTATACTAAATTCTTAATTCGTCCATCATGCATCAGAAAATATAGTGTAAATTTAAATTGTCCTGGAAACAGTGAATGTAATTTTTTTCTGCTGATGATGCCTAATGGATAAAGATTGTTAAATCATCTTCTTGTTTCAGATTTCTAGTCCTTTCAGCAATGATGTTAAATCTAATTTAGTAGATTAGTTAGTAAATCACATGGCTGATATTTCCAACTTTTCCTATGCTGAATAAAATAGCCTGGGATGGTAAGAGTGAGTCCATTCTTGCAAATGTGCTGGAAGAAATTGCTATTCGTTTTAGAAGAGCTGTGAATTGTATCTTTGTATTAATTCACCCTCTAAACTTCAGTTTTGTCATTTTTCTTCCAATATCTTGCAATTTGAAGAGAGGAGGTTTGGTATGCCTTTGTAAATTCACACTCCTATCAAATGGATATGAGGCTATTCCTGGTCATGGGGGTTAATAGGTTATTTCCTGCAATCCTCTGAATGCCAGTAGCTGGGGGAAATGAATGGGAATGTACTATTATTATCATTATTATAGGCTTCCCATCAATCTCTGGTGGGCACAATGAGAATAGAATGCTTGACTATTTAGAAAGCATAATTGGTTTTATGTATGATGTTTGTATACATGCAGCATTTCCAAGTTAAAAGTTTTCAGAAGCTGGAGAATTATAGTTTCAAATCTGCACATCTGTGTGCTTTTTCATTTTCTCCAGTGGCACTCAAGCAACAGAGGAACTATGTGCCATAACAGACATGGCAGAAATAGCAACTGTAAGTATTATCGTCTTTTAACATACCTTTCTTTAATATCAGGATGTCACAGATTCATTTTCTGTGGCTTCAGAAAGTGGGACTGCAGAATTTGCTGGTAATGGAAACATGTCAGCCTCACTAGGGAGACCAGACCAGGAGATCAACTCCGCATGAAGACTAGAACTATTTTCACTGAGATTGGCTATAATAACAGAATCTGGCAAGTCTGATTGTGCTGCCCATCCTCCCCCTTCTATACTCCAGTGAACCAGGGAGGTGTCCATCTGAGCGACTTCTAAATATTGTTTCTCAGGACTTAATAAATGTTTCAACCCTTTTTGCCTACGTAACGGTTCTTGCACATTTCTGTCAAGGTCATCCTGCTTACTCTCTACCAAAAGAACACCCTGGAAAATGGTGGCTGTCTTGTTGTTTTTTTATGTAGAGGCTGGATGGGTACCAATCAGAAATGCTATGAAATGGAAGTGAAACAGTGAGCTACCTTCTTTTTTAATCTTGGTTGAATCATTGAACTAGATGAAAATGCAAGGGTCAGTTTATGCCCTTGCATAAATGCCAGTCAGTGGGTTAAAGATACCTTGTCTGTCACTTTTCTGTATTGCAACGAAGGACCCATCTTCATGCTCCTCAAACGTTCTTTACCTTTGCTTCTGAATCCAGGATGCACAAACAGCCAGCTGCGACAAGCGCTCATCCTCGAGGGACATGGATGTTTTGGATTCTGCTAATTACCAATTTAAAAATGAAGTTTCAGAAATTGGAGATGAGATGAAACACACCACTGCAGATGAGGTCAAACAGGGTGTTCTCAGTCCTACAGAGGATTCTCAGGCTGCAGAAACTTGTGATCAAAATGAAGTACGGCATACACCAGAATGTAAGTAAAATATATGGATTTTCTTGCAATAAATGGTATAAAGAACTTCTTTGGCTGATCTTATATTCTGAGGTCATGTAAGAATTATTTGGGCATCAAATTTCCAGAGCTGTCTGCATCTCGTATCATAGATGGCTAAGTTACTTGAAGTCTTTGCTTCAGGCTGCTGATAAAAGCTGTTGGCTACAATTTGGGCATGCTTTTATGTAACTATGTCCCCAGTGCAGTCAGTATAGAACACTTTTAAATTAATAAGTATAAAATCAGGAGGAAGAGGAGGAGGAGGATTACAACTATATTGCCATTCATCATAAACTCATCTGCTGCTGCTATTGCTACTATAGATTAGCTGTTGGATATTTTGGGAGCTGACCCATCTCAAACATTGTCATTCGTGGTTATTCAGCATTTGTTAGAGAGATATATAAGCTTAAAGCAATAGTAAGTACAGTCCACTCCGAATGTTGTCTGCATAAGCTATTTCAACTGGAAGCTTCCAGATAATATAATTAATATCTATGCATAACTTAATATGCATTTTAAAGTACTTCTCTGAAAATGAGATTTTATTTTCCAGGCTCTCTTCTCAGTTTCTCCAGTGATGATGGAATCCTTGATCTCCAGGTATGTTTGCTTGAAGTCAGTTGAAGCACCATTAGATGTTACTTAAAATGTATAAAATTATCATGGAGATAGTGTGTGTCTCTCCCGGGCATCCATGCTTGTGATGTGAACATCTGTAGGGATAAAGGCTTCATAGAGACATCAGTATATATGAGGAGGCATCCATGCAAGTAGAAACTTTGCACTGTCAAAATTCCATTTCATATAGAAGCCTTTTTGTATGACATAGTCTCGACATACACAGATTCATATGATACATACAATTGTTGGGAGGTGGGCTATGTCACATGCATGACACCAAAAGGCAGAATCTTTGGGCAGCTCTTATTCTGGTTATCTCTTGACTTTCCACAATTAAAAAATGCCTGAGATCAGTTTAGGTTAAATATTTGTTTTTATTGTAACGATTATGATGCATTACCAGAATTTACCAGCTCCAAAACTAATTGCTTACTGAAGATGATGGTGCACCATAAAGAGAGCACATAAAGCATCTTCATAAGAAATGGTCTAGCTAGCCTTATCCTTTCTTACAGCACCATCAGTTTATTGTCTGTTTGTGCATATGAAATGTGAGAGTTTCATAACCAAAAAAGACTGGGGCCCTGCCCCAGAAAAGCTTACATTCTAAATCTGAACAGCACAGGGAAAAAGGGACAGAGAAAATTAGTTGGAGCCACAATGAGCAACAATTCTCATACAACCTTCTCTCATTTGGTACCTTCCATCTATCTTGGATTACAGCTCTCATCATCTTCAAACAACCTGGTTATGAGCACACATTTAGACAGCCCCACTTGGGACAAAACTGTATTAGAAACATGATATAGATTCCACTATGGAGTATTGGTTTTGAAGCAGTATATGAATCAAAGAAAGCACATACTGGCAGAACCCTCACTGCTAAGTCAGCTCAATGTTGGAGATGAGTGCACAGGTTCATAATATAATAGCAAGTGTCATAGGGAGTCCTTAAGTGTGAAGATCATCTGCCAGGAGAAAACCTTTTAAACTTTTTATCTACTGAAGATGATTTTTTAAATATCTGATAGAAGCAACTTTTAATACTGTAATAATATCCTGAAAGAAAAATACGTATTTGTCCAATGGAACTCAATACACTTCAGATCAGAGGATTCTTTACCTCTATCAGGCTCCTAACTGCACAACTTGTTTGGCTGGTTTGGGGACTTTTAGTAATGTTTCATAAGTTAACACTATTAAGTAAGGAGTTTCAGGAGGCTTTTCTGCTCTCCAGTTATGTAGCAAGTGCATAGTATGTAGTGTGGAAAGTAGCTTTTTAAAAAGTGTTCCATCCTTTTGACATTGAACCCAATTTGAGTGAAATGGATTTGGGTTGTATTATGTGCCAAATTAATTCAGAACTTTAAATATGAAGGAAACTGATTATTGTTGGAATCACTGTTCCATACTGAGTAGATAAATGATTTTTGCATAACATGGCCTACCTTCAAAGCATGAGTTTGATAATAATATAGGTTTTCAGTAAGAAAATATGGGCAGAGAGGGGAAATATTGGGTGGCTGAGTTCCATTACAATTCCAGCTTGCTGGAAAGATGCCAGCATCCCACTTTTGCAGCAGGGGGGAATTACTAAAAGCTTTGCCTGAAGTTTTGTGAGAAGTCCTATATTCCTTTGTCTCAGTTCTCTGCATCAATGAGATCAAGCAATTTGCTTTCCTTTGCTTAATTTCTCCCGCTTCTAAACAAGCAAAATTGGGATTCTCAAGATGTCAATACCTCTAGCAGAGCTGCAGACATGTATTTCTGGTTGTAGCATTTATATTTCACACCAACCCCTACCCCACCCCCAAATTCAAGGAATATAGTAGAGACATCTCATGTGTTTCAAGGAAACATTTATATAATTCTTATTAAAATTGGAATAGAGGGGAGCACTTTAATTGCCTTGAAACTGGCTACAAATACTTTCATCCAAAAGTTCTCAGCCACAAGAAAACAGTTTGGTGGGATTTTGGAAGACCTACATTTTAACAATGTACTAATAGTATTTCTTCTGCCTCATAGCCAAATCTGGATGCCAGTTCTTTCTTCACTCCTCTGAGGAACAAGGCTGAAAAAAGTGTGTCAGCTGATTCATGCAACGACCTTATTGTATTCTCACCTCTTCCTCTCCCAGACAAGGAGAAATAAGTTAAATTATATTTAAAAACTTCATATGCACACTTAATTAATGGGTGCAAAAAGAATATAAGATTTCTTTTCATAAGTTTTAGTTCCATTAATATACTGAACTGTCATTTCAAAAGTATACTTCTGCTAGAGAGAATCTGAATTATAGGATGTTGTGTGGTCTGTATCTGTTGAATATCCATCTTTAGTGGAACTGGACTTGAGGAAAACTGTTCTGAATTGGCTTGACTATACCACTGGTAAAATAGTTCGGATCTCAAACCTAAATAGTTGCTTGTCATTAAGTGTGGTAATGGGTGGGAGAGAGAGGGGGGGAAAAAAGTATCTTAATTATTTGGCTGCTGCATTTTAAATGTCTATTTTCTTTAATCTTAATAATCAAACTTATACTTCAATGTATAACCACAATTATTAAAGTTCTGTAAACTAGATTATTCTCTCATCTATGTGGTGATTTGTACCTGCCTTCTATCTGAATTTTTTTAGCATTCTTTCCTCAGCCACTGCCTCTCAGATTTATTTTTAAATCAGGGTAATTAAGTAAAAAAATATAAATTTAAATAATTGCTTTAAATCAAGTTCTCCACCGATACTATTTCTAAAACAGTTGTGTAGATCTGATCACTGAATCATAACTGAGTAGTAAGCTGGTTCACACATGATATTAAGTCATGATTAGTATTGCTATCACCCAGCCAATTAAACTAAGTTATAAACCAAATGTGGACAGCTCTGTTAAGCCTCGGAGAGTTACAAGGCATGCCTGGTAATACTGTACACTGATGTCACTGAATGAAGGGGATGAAAAATGTTGGCCTTTAAGAGGAGCTTAAACCAAAATCTTTCTTTTAAGTCCCATGTTTTGTATCTGATTTTTGCATAAAATGACCTGCTGAAAATCACCAATTTTCCTGTCAAATTTCAGCTCTCTGACAATGCTGTGAGGATTCCAAAATAGGGTTTGGATGGGAGGACACACACATCTGGCCAATCAGTTACCTATATCAGTTATAAACCTTGGTTCACAAACTGCTAACTGCGGCTAATTTTACACAACAGACTAAGCCTGAAGCAATCCATGGCTTAGTGCAATTGTGAATCAAGCCAAATATGTCCATCCGATATGAGAGGCAGCAACTTAAGAGACTGAGGCACGGAGACTTCTTCCCATGCTTTTGATAGCCTTTTCCTGGAGACTGGTGAATGCGCTTGATAGTCTTGGCATCAGAGCAGGTATGTCCTATCCTCTAGGCCAGTGTTTCTCAACCTTGGCAACTTTAAGACGTGTGGACTACAACTCCCAGAATTCTCCAGCCAGCATTCTGGGAATTGAAGTCCACACCTCTTAAAGATGCCAAGGCTGAGAAACAATTCTTCATTACCAGTGCTTACAGTCCTTCTGTGTGGCCCAAAAAGGTAAAAAGCTACAGCAAAAACATACATCTGTGTAATCATACTATATGGAGAATGTCACTGAAACAAGCCAATCTTGGAATGCTTGAAAAATGAATGAAAGCTAAAATTTTGGGATGCTAAATTACACACTGCAGGAAGAAGCCAGAATCTTGTTTACAGCTATGTATATATACATAAGACCTTTAGCCTTTAAGGACTTTATTTATTAGTCACTGCCCAATAAGAAAAAGATACTAGACTTTTAGGAAAAAAAGCAACCAGTTTTTACAGGGATATTGAGCATCAGGCTGCAATGAGCCAAAGGCTTGGCTTAGATCATGAAAGGCATGACGCTGATGAGAGTGATGTCACCAGTAACAGACAGCTTGGTGATCTGATTCAGCTCTTTTATACGGTGATTGTACTGCATGAGATGAGCATCATCAACAGCTATCTTAAAATGATCTGCTTCACAGAGAATCTGGATCTGTAAAAGGACAGATGTAAAAATTCCTAAAATATTATGAATAAGAATTACAGAAACACCATGAATTCATGCAACCTGATTCTTGCTTTGTTGCCCTGGGCTATAGGCCTACAGGCCTAGCATCTTGTGCTTGTCATGGTTACATAAAAAAGCACCAGCAAATACTGTATGGAACCATGAAATGGGGTGGGGAAATTGCCCCTCCCCACCTCAAGAGTCTCAAAAGGATACAGTGCTGAATTCAGCATCCCAGATTTTTTGGGTGCTGGCTGGGGAATTCTGGGACTTGAAGTCCAGGCATCTTAAAGTTGTCAAGGTTGAGAAACACCGATCTAGAAGCACCAGGTTGGTGAAGGCTGATATCAGCTTTCATCTCCTAGAGTCACTTCATTATAGCACTGAAAATTATGACTAACCGTGTGAAGGAGCACAGTGTACATTTTCAAGCTCTAACTGATTTGACACAATGTATCTGTATTATTGCATTCCACTCTCATTTTAAGTCTAGTCTTTACCATTTTTTCTCTTATGCTGGACAACTGAGATTGACCTTCCACACATCTAACAAAGTAGATCCTGATCCCCAAAAGCTGATGCCTTAATAAAACAAAGGCTCTGATTGCCCCCCCCCCATAACTGATATCAAGCTGGCATCTAGGAACAGTTAATAGAGACAGTTCTGTGTGGGGAAGTCACCCACAAATGCATTTCTGGAGCAATTTTACACAGCACTATTATGAGTATAGTACCAGAACAGGACTGGGAAAGATACATTGGCTCCAGGTTCCTAAATCTTCCCTAGCTAGGAAGAATGTGCAAAGGATGATGTTCTCCAGCCCCTGACAATTCATCCTTTGTCTACCTTTCTCAGTCAAGACAAACATGCAAAGGATGAAGCTGTTCTGGAGCAAGTTTTGCATTTCTCCTAGTTCCAGCTTCAAGGGACCATGCTTGCCTTTAGTTGGAGCACACTGGAAATGACAACACTCTGCTTCCTACACAGAAAAATGGATGATGTCAGGGACACTCCTCTGGAGGCAGGGAGGGGCTTCCTACTCATCAGTCCCATCTTTTGATGTCATCTGATTTGCAACCCCCATATCAGAACCAGTTCTCCATCCTGCTTTAGGTGCTATGCAGAAACAAGGCAGCAGGCTTACATGCATTCACACGACTCACTTAAAATGGTTAGTGATTGGCCCATTTTCTGTACAATAAATTAAGCCATATACTAATCAAACAATTTGGATTTGTACAATACTACTACTACTACTACTACTACTACTACACACACATACACACACCAAAGTTTAGCATATTGTCCAAATGCAATCACTGGCCCTTTTTCTGGCTAGTGTTGAATGAACACACCCAATGAAAAGGAAATGCAAGCAATATTAAAGACCCATCTTCCTCAACCTGAAGCCCCTCCAGGTGTATTACAATTCCAACTCCTAAAATTCCCACTCAACTTAGGGATTGCTGGGGAGTCTGACAGGAGTGGTCCCAACAAATTTTGGGAACACCTGGGAGAATTATAGAGATTAGACGGATCTAGGTAAATCAAACTGTTCTTGCAATATTCACATGACTAAATTGCAGGCAATCAAGCTCTTTGTTGTTATTTGATTCTTCTGAGCTATCAAAAGGACACACACACACACACAAAACTTTACCTTGAAAGGCTTGCCAGCCTCAAAAGGAAACCTGGATGCCGTTCGGTCTTCCTTCCCCCAGACATTTTGAATCTTGGTGTTGCAGACAATCACCTTCCGGCTGTCCTCACTGAAGCGGGGATTAAAGTGTAAAGCAATGTCATCACCTTTCTTCAAATCTACTTGAAATCTGCAAGAAATAGGGACACACAGGATGTTATCCTGATGTTCTACAGGAAGCTTGCTTGTGATGTTTACAAAAACAAAAAAAAAGCTGCTCTATTTATCACATTTTTCAAATTAATCATTAACTTGAAAACTTGGATCCCCAGTGCGGTGCCCATTGTTGCCCATGGGAACCATCAGGCTATTTTATTTTAATATTAAAACATTAAGTGGGAACCTAGTTTGCTGCAAAGCAGAGTGCCACTCTCACATGTAAACTTTATTTCTAATCATAATGGTCCCATAGGCATTCTTAGAAAATAAAAATGACAGGGACTTGATAAACCGAAAAGCAAGCTAAAGTGGAGAGAGTGGGGCGGGTGAGGGTTGTAGAAAGAATGGCCAGGTGCAACCTCTCCTGTTTGTCTTCTGGGTGTTTGTAGCAAGCCAGACTTTTCTGGGCAGGTTGGCACAATCCTAGACTAAGTACTGGAGGTCAACCACTCATCAGAGGTATCCTTGCAATTAAAGAGGATGTTACAGGTTGGAACCTTGCTTTGCACCTTTCCAGCATGTCATTTAAAATAAGAAGAAGGAGAAGGAGAAGGAGGAGAGGGAGAAGGAGGAGAAGGAGAAGGAGGAGAGAAAATTAGAAAGAACTGGAGAAAATCACAAAATACAAAGACCTGCAAATAGAAATAGAATGACTGTGGCAAAAGAAAGCAAAGATAGTACCAATAGTAATAGAAGGAGAAGGAGGAGAGAAAATTAGAAAGAACTGGAGAAAATCACAAAATACAAAGACCTGCAAATAGAAATAGAATGACTGTGGCAAAAGAAAGCAAAGATAGTACCAATAGTAATAAGTGCCTTGGGTGCAATCCCAAAACACCTGGAGCACCACTTGAAGACCACCGGCATTGACAAAATCACCATCAGGCAATTGCAAAAGGCAGCTTTACTTGGAACAGCTTACATCCTGTGACCATACCTTTAACGCCATCAAACAGTAACATCTGCCTATCCCAGGTCCTTGGGAAGGTGGATAAAAATGTCAAATCCAGTCTAAGCATCTGGCTGACTGTGCAACCAACAATAATTTTGGATTTGGATTTGGATTTGAATGTAGCAAGAACCACTGGGACCATCAAGTTGAGAAAGTTTTGGAAAATGAATGGGTTAAGATCTTATGGGACTTTAAAATCCAAACAGACAGGCATCTTGTTCATAACACATCTGATATAACAGTCATTGAAAAGAAGAAAGTCTGGTTCACTGATGTTGCTATATTAGTGATGCTAGGTTTGAGGAAAAGCAATCCAAACAAATTATACAATACTGGAACTTGTAGATCAAAGTTGAACACTTATGGAAAAAGAAATCCATTCTTATAACAATCGTGATTGGAGCCCTTGGAGCAATACCTAAAAGACTCCCTTGAGATTTAGAAATTTTGAATTTATTGGACTTGAACACCCTAATTTTACCAAAAGAAAATACCTTGCTTGGAATTGCCTATATCCTCAGACGCTATCTTAATAATTCTTAGATCCTTGGTTAGGACTTGAATTATCAAGTTTTCACAAGACTTTCTGAATCAAATTGTAGATTACCCAATAATAATAATAATAAAAATAATAATAGCAGCACAGGATAAAAATGCCAAATCCAGTCTAAACTTCTGGCTGACTGTGTGACTAATAATAATAATGACTTGATAGGTGGATAAAAATGCCAAATCCAGTCTAAACATCTGGCTGACTGTGCAACCAACCATAACAATAATGAAGGTCAGGTGGGACCGGGGTACCAGGAAGGTCCAAGGGGCATCTGCAGGCACTGTGTAACCTCCATCTGCTCTGACCATAGGAAGTACGCCTAATGTCTTTTGGGTCATAGGACTTGCTTGGCCTTGAAGTAACATGCCAGGGGAATGCTAGGGTAAGGGCAAAGAAGTGGGTGAAGCAAGACAAGGACTAACTTTTATTTAATTTCAGTTTTAATTAAACTACTTTAAATCAATTGAAGTTCATTATTCCTCAAGTATTTGCCCATTTAATCCAGAGCTGCAAACATGTGGCCTGGAGGTTGCATGAAGGCCTCCAGCATCCTTTGTGCAGCCTCCAGAACCCCCCAGATTGGTTCAGCCAAAATCTGCCCCCCTCTGTTAGATTTATATCCTGCCTTTTATCTTAGATCTCAAGGAGATCTCCCTTCATTTTCTCCCCACAATAGCAAACCTGTGAAGTAGGCCAGGCTGAGAGACTGTCCAACAGTCATCCAGTGAGTTTCCATGGCTAAGGGTAGACTTGAACCTGAGTCTCCCAGATCCTCATCCAACACCTTAGCCATTATGTCCCACTGGCCACACTTTTGGAGACTGACCTCAATACATGTAACAAAGGGGCAGGGCTTTGATTGTGACCATCATCCTATAGCACACACAAATATCCCAATGCACCCGATTTAATTTGGTCCTCCTAATCCCCCCAAGTAATGCTGGAGCTATGCTTCAAGGAGAGATGATGGGTTGGATGCCAAGAGGCAGTCTAGCCCACAATAAACCCAACTGTATTCTGCAAGAAACTTTGGATCAATATCACCCGCCACGCCATCACCCTGTCTTGCTACCTGTTTGGTCTTGGATTCACTGTCCCAGTAATGGTTATTAACAAGCGAGGCACAAGTCCTGAATGAAGGGGTAAGTCAAAAGGAATTTTCTGCAGAGAAAAACAGATTACTTTGCATTAGATCAAAACAAACCAACTAAACAAAATTAAAGAGCACAAGGTCCAACCTTCTAATGTTGAAGCCTGCCTTGACTTTCAGCTTCCTTTCTGTTAAAAATATATCCCTTCCCATCACTAACCCCTTTTCTGTAAGGTTTTCTCCTAACACTTGGTTCTGGCCCCCCTCTTGGTCTCAGATAAAGGCTTCTTCCATGTTATTCTCCATCTAGTTTATATCTCTGTCCTATACTATTCCTTTCTATATGTTGGGCCTGACTGTCATTAAATGCATTTACCATAAGTCGCCACTGGTGCTCAATCTGCATCTAATTGACTAGACTTTTGGACTTCCAGTTTGGAGCCAAAAAGTCTTGTTGTCTGTGTGAAATATTTGAACACCCACCAAATATTCAGAGTTTAATTTTGGTCCTACCAACAAGATTTGCTGTTCCTTTTTTTAAAAAACAGAAATTTGTATACATCCTAATCAAGAACAGGAAAAAATGCAGATGCCTCCCGCTACCTTGCACAAACCACAGATATGAACATATTTTTCTCACCAATGGAACAGAAAGGCCTCCAGGTCCACTTTGTGGTGGAGTTGGCTGTGCTCCTCTGTCACTTGGGGGCTGCCCAGGAACAGGATGCATTCCTGAGGCCCCTGGTGGAACCATTCCTGGTGTGTTTGAAAATGTGCCAGGCACTGGTGGGCCTCCAAAGTATGCTCCAGGTGCTGACAGTCCTCCTGGGCATGCACCTGGTGCTCCAGGATATGCGCCTGGTGCTCCTGGATATGCGCCTGGTGCTCCGGGATATGCGCCTGGTGCTCCGGGATATGCGCCTGGTGCTCCGGGATATGCGCCTGGTGCTCCGGGGTAGCCTAAGAAGGCACCAGGCTGATTCCCCCAAGGATTAGGTTGCATATTTGGATTAGGGTTGTTGGACCCTGACAGGGCATCTGATAGCTGCAAAGGAAACAAGGAAACATTTAATCTTGGCTGAATTTAGGTACGGCATTTCTGGCTTTTCCAGAAAGCTGTATGGTCCACAGCAACTTATTAATGCCCCTTCTTTAAATAACAATAGAGTGAGTGTTTAGACAAACCAAAACGTGGGGCATAAATTTAATAATAATTAAAAACAAAAGGAAAAGGAAATGTGGCATTAAAAAGCACCATCTCTTCAGAAACAGACTTACCGAAAATCCGTCAGACATCTTCCTGAAACAAAAGAGACAGTGGGTTAATCAGTACAGCTCAGGATTTCTTCGTGACCCTGTGTCTAGCCCAGATCTTGGTAGAACTTCAGTGTAAGACAGAGAGAAAATGTGAGGTATGCTGGGTAGAGTTGAGAATATATTGGGGTGCCTTTTTTAGCAGGGAAAAACTGAGGCGTCACATTAAGCCAATACAGTCTGCGAAGCCAACAACTATCTTGCTAGAAAACAATGTGTCATTTTGTGTTGTACCTAGACACACATTTCTTACTCTGTTTTGGCCACTTAAGCATAGGCTGATGAAGAGTTGGAGAACTCAACTTCTTGCACATTTTGATTGGTCTCAGTAAAGTATTACCTAACTATTGATTTTTGGATTGTTTTTCATATGTCACAAAATATGGTTATGATATTACTGTTACTATCATCCCATTATATAGAGGGAAGAAAAGGGATAGGCAACACAATTTCCATGGACACCATGATGCCTGTGATGTCAGTAGATGGTGCTCCAAGACCTCAAACAAATAAAACAAAAACTGAAAGCCATTTAAAAGTCAGTTAAAAGCTCCAAATCTCATGAGCTAATCAAATCTTGCAAAATCTATGGTCTTGCATGAGATTTCATCACTTTCTAAACATTTTAATTCAAGGTTTAAAAAACAGTAATGTATGGTTTTAAGAATGGGCACCACAAGATTGTATAGAATTGGAAAATGGTTTTAGCTACCTGAAAAGGCTCATATGCCCTCCTGTACATCATCTGGCCCACCAGGTTTCCAATAGGGGCAATTTCAATTAGATGGGCTCACTGTACAAAATGCACTGGGATCCATATTAAAAAATACCATTTGGAAGAGACATTTTTTTCTATCTTCTTTCTCTTTTGTGTGTGTGAGTAGGGGCTAACTATAATAGGGCTTCATGTGGAGCAAAAT